ATATTGTGTTTGGGGAGGTTGGTGTTGTAAGCGCAAACTCTCTCTGGCTAAGGAAGACCTTGAATCCCAGCCTCCTACTTGCTGAGTGAGTGTAACCAGTAAGGTGTTATGTAATGGTTAAGCACCATTACAAGTATTTTAAAAAGAAAGGAGCCAAAGCTGCTTTTTTGGTGGGTCTCAGTCCCTATAGTGTGTATTACATGTGCTTGGAGGGTGGCTGCTGGATTAGGCTGCTCAAGAGACTTGAATAGAGAACTGCTGAATGCCTGCATCTCAGTTGGTGTTAAGCCTTAGTCAAGTGCTAAACTGCTTAGACTGGGGCAGTTGTGGATACGTACGGAAGCTTCTCGGCCTCTTGTGGGTTGAGAAAGCATAGTCCTATGCTTGCCTGGCAAGGGAAACACCGTGACCACTGAGGCAGTCTTCCTAGTCTTACCTGGGGAAGACTGCTGTCCTGACACGGGGATAGTACCTGCCAAGGTAATGTATAGTAAACCTCTCACTTAACTGCTGGAGTGGGAAGGTCTTGGCTTTATGCCCACTTTATGGAAAGGCGAGACTCCTCCCTAGCTTGCTCCTGCGGCCTTATGGCTAAGGGCAAGCAAAACTTGGGGCATCTGAACCCCAAGCCTCCGGGCTTGGGCCTGCAAGTAGGATGCCCACCAAAGGTTTTGGAAATATTTGAAGCCCCAGATGGGGGTGAAGGATGTTTGTTGGTAGTAGGGCCACTTTTATGGTTCTGGACTGACTCATGGATTTGGAATTTGTTTTGGCTAATTTGGCTTGGAATATGGAAAATTTAATTTTAAAAAATGTGCAGAAGCAAAACTCTACACCTACAGAACTTTCAAATCAAGAGGGAGGTACCTTAAGAGTTTAGCTGCCTCAAAGGTTAAGCAGTAGCTGAGCTGGGTTTTTAGGATCAGAATTTTGGATTTAAGTTTTTGAGTTCCATGTAAGTCCTGCTTTAGTTGCTGTAAGTCCCTTATTGGATCTGTCTCTAAATAAGTTGTATTAGGTCATCTAGGAAACCTGTGGCAGGGCAAGGAATTAAATCCAGCTCTCTCCCAAGCCCTAGGTTAACACCCTAATCACTGGACCATCCATCTCTTATGAGGTGAAAATAATAGGGCATTTTAAAGTTTCACTCGCAAGCTTTCCATTCAGAGGTCTCAGTGGGTGAGATCTGATTGCTTTCCTGTACTATTTCATATACTTTTACATATTTTAATATAATTTTATTACACTTCAAGTTTGTTTGTTAAATTCCTTAATTGCATTTTGTATCTAGGCAATTGTATACTGCACAGTTGAACACTAGCATTTATCCATTTACCCACAATTTGTATTTGAGAAGGAAAGCATGTGGCTATCCTAAGAAAGATCCCAAATTATTAGGCTGGTCTAAATGGAGCCCTAATATTTTCATCCTATGCTCTTATTTTTCGTCTTTACATCTTGCACACTTTATCCTATCAAGCTGCTGCTTGTTACGTTCAAAATAATGCTACAAGCTAATGTTACTTTAAAATTTAGCATACTTAAGCAAGAGTCTTGAGGTTAATCTTATAAAGACCCAGTGATTGTTCTTTAAAAATAATATGGAGTACTTTACATACAACAAGCATCTGGAACATAGCTGCCTATTAAAGGGATTTGCCACTCTAACACCAATTTGCATTTCATTTTTCAGCACCAGGGTTTATATTTATAGTCCCTAAAGCCCCAAGCAAAGGACCAATATGAAGGAAACAAGTTATTTCCTTAAGAATGGAGCTTGTGGCTTTCTTTTCTTATCTTTACCTACGCATATGTTCCCTCTCCTTCAGTGTTCTCTATGATATAATGTGGTTTCAGCTGTTTTCATGTGAACTTATATAGTTCTTTGGCTGAAGAAAAAATGGAGTGAAGAATTTAGCTCTATTTATAGAGTAGTTCACTACCTCATTGCTGTAGAAGTTATGTTTATAGGTCTCTCTTTCCATATAGGCCTCTAATAAATATTTGTGGGACATACTAAAAAAACGACATGGTCAGTACTTCTTGGAATAAATTCATTTAATCTTTTTAATTACAGGTTCCATTACAGCTTATAGAAAGCGTTGAATGCCGGGATATCTTTCAGCTTCATTTGACTTGCAAAGACTGCAAGGTTATCAGGTATGTGCAGACTGTTCTGTAAGATGGAAAGGTAACTTCATCCCAAAGAAAATGAAATCTAAGTACAAGGTAACCCTGCATTTCCACAAGCTGTGGATGGCTGCGACATTTTATGGATAATATTTTCTTCTATTTTGCATACATTTTTTCACAGAAAGATTCTCTTCTGTGTATTGTAGCTGGACATTTTTGAAAGAAGGATAGGTATTGGGTCTGTACTCTTTGTTACAGTTCAGAATAGTGGAAGTTATTTCTTTATAGAAGTCTTTCTAGTGCTGGAAACTGAACAGACCTTAGGTAGCAGAGATTTTGTAACCCTGTTTGGCAATACATGTTTTCAGTTATTTTGAAATCAATTTCACTCTTATTTCATTCATTAGTAAGAAGGGACCATATCTCTTTATTCAAACGTTTGCTGGCAATACATTTTTACAATAGAATCAAGTCCAACCCTACTAGAGAAGATTCAATATGTAAACTGTTTCCTAATATATAGCATTGTGGTGGGGACTAATTTGATTTTATAGGTCATGCTTTGTTGTTCAATTTGATTTTATAGGTCTTAGTTTGTTGTTCAGTCTGTGTTAAATATCTAAAAAATGGAGTGGATGCATGGCACAGCCCTGCTACACAGTAAATTACTTAAATCCAGGGTAAAGTTCCCCCGTGAAAAAGGTGTAGTAACTTTACTATGTGGGAAAATTCCTATGTAGGAGGTGTCCTGTGTCTGCTCCTCTCTCCATTTTCATCTCAGGGTAGACCTTTGCTGGCTTCCCTGCCACCTAATGGTCAGGTACTGGAATACCACCTACAGCAGGCGGATAGCTTTATGCTATGGAAAGATGTTGCATTGAAGCACTTCAAATATAGTTGTACTTTGAAGGGCTTCAGAAATGGAGGACTTCATATGTACACAGACTTATAGCATGGAACTGCATCCTTCTGGCTAGACCACTTCAAAATTGCCATTGCTGCCTGCAGTAGCACATTCTGTGGTTTCACTCCCCCAGCAGAGCCGAGCCAACTGTCAGTGAGTACTTTCCCATGTACTCACCTCCATTCCTCTGGAATGGCCTTCTCCTCTCCAAAATCAGGAGTGGCCTTTTTCGGAGACTGGAGGCAGAGCAGACAGAAGAACATTTAGGGCGCTGACCGATAAAAGCACCAAAAAGCCCTGCTGAAACACACAGAAGTTGACCTGGATCTCTTCAGCCTCCACAAGAGAAGACTGAGAAGTGATCTTGTGTTCGCCTACAAATTCATCAGGGCCCCAGGCACAGCAAAGAATAGGAGATGCTCTGTTTACAAGGGCATCCCTTGGAATAACTAGGAACAACAGCCACAAACTGATGGAGAGCAGATTTAGGTTAGACATCAGGAAGAACTTCTTTACAGTAAGGGTTGCCAGAATCTAAAATGGGCTTCCAAGGGAGGTGGTGATCCCCACTACCTTGGAGGTCTTTAAGAGGAGGCTAGACATGCACCTGGCTGGGGTCATCTCACCGTTCTTTCCTGCCCAGGGCAGGGGGTTGGACTCAGTGATCTACCGAGGTCCGATCTAACCCAAACTTCTATGAATCTGTGAATGAAAGTTTGACAAGCCGGGTCAAACTAATGCAATGCCTCTTCTGCGGGGGGAGACCAACCTTAAAGTAAAGCATTGTTTTGTTTGTGGTTTTTTCACATCTGTAAGCAGCCTTATTGATGGTCTGCTCCATTCTCCCTCCCTCCCCTTTTGCACAGGGGTCAGAGCAGAGCACTGTGGCATACTGGAGGACTGAGACCTCCCTGTCGCACTCCATAGAGCTTGCACATGTAACAGGAAGTGCTTAATTTTGAAGTGCTTCCAAGCAGTAGTGGTCTCCTCCAAGATTATTTTGGATCGTTTCTGTCATTTTCAGAGTGCTTCAAAGGATGTATGCATTTGTCCCCTCACTCTTTAAAGCACTTCGAAGGTAACTGAAGCATTTCAAATGTTACGTGTCTCCATTCTCTTAGACAGCTAGTTGTTTATCTGTTTCTTAACATGGAGTAAATTTATTGTGGTGAAAATACAGGGTAAATTAACTGTATTGTATATTTGTCATGGGAAAGATCATCCTTATTTGGAATTTTAATGTTGAAATTGAAGTAATTTAATACCAGCTTTACAAGGATGTTATTCCAGAGTGTAAACATTTCAGAAATCAGAAAGCAAATTTAAAGGTATTAATTAATTTAGTAGAGACACGTACTGTTGATATCAATGAATACAGTTAAATTTTAATCTGCATAGAAGAGAGACCCCAAGAAAATGCTAACTCCTGTACTTTGGGACCATCATAGACACTGTGTTTTAAGGCATAGATACCATATTTACAAAGTGCTTACACACAAAAATAAGTGTAAGCATCTTAAAAATTTGTCCAAGTGATATAATCAAGAATGTGAGCAAACCTATATTTCACTGTGCTTGTTTCGGGCATTATTCCGTAACGTGAAGGTAACTGCTTGGAAAAGGCTTGCTGCTGTTGTGAATTTGAGATATTGTTTGGCAGGCTAGTCTCTCCTGTGGACAGGACCTGCTTGTTAATTTTCACGTGCTGTTTCTGTTCTGTCATAATGACAATAAGCTCAGATGACAAAAATATTTTTTATGCTTCCACTGAAGTAAAATACAAATAAGGGAAGAAACAGCTTAAGATGTGAGGGAGGGAGAGAAAATTAGGGCTGCAGACACCAGGGTTTGTCCATGTTGGCTTCAAGTAAGTACATTTGTCAGTGGGAGTATTTCCCTATGTTCAATCAGAAAATGTATTACTGTTTGCGGGGCTGAAGAAGGCCAGCTGAAAGAAGGAGGTGGCTACACCTTTTTTTTTGGAAAGGAAAGGCATTTGAAGAGAAGTGTATTCACTGGGTTGGCTTTGCCATAAAGAACAAGATTGTCAGCCAGCTTTCAGAACTCCCTGTGGACATTAACGAATGCCTTATGACTCTTACCTCAAGCTCAGTAACAACCTGTATGCTACGGTCATAATCAGCAGGGATCTAGGTTTTCCCTGATTTTAAAAAATAAATAAATTTAAAAAATTGCAAATTCTGTGATAAAGCCCCCCAAATCCATTATTAAAATGAAAGCCCCCCG